GCTAAACAAGCGTAAAAGTGACGCCTGGTGCAATACGGCAACCGTCAAATTCATATCTGACTGACTTAACAACAGCACTGTTCAGGCAAGAAAAGAATAAGATCTGTAGCGAACCCACAACGGCCGTAGAACAATGCTAGATTGTTCGGCTGATTGCGTCATTGTAGCACCCGTCGTCCGCTTCGCAGTCACGCTACGACTGGGACGCACGTGTGGCGGACCACGCGATAGCGACGACTTCTTAAATGGCCCTCGGCTTTCTTTTCTCTCTCTCTCTCTCTCCCTCTCGCTCTCTTCTTTCTCCCCCCCCCCCCACCCCACCCTCCCACCATGTCCCTTGCTCGAAACCAGGAAACAGTATTTTAATAACGCAATCGTAAGTAAGGGAGAACATGACTCCCCGAAGCCTAAAACGGTCGAGACGACTGAATAAGAAAAAGCAAGAGAATTGTGAACGAAGGAGAAACTTGAGCGGACCTTCGCGGGGTTGCGTGTGCTTGACTATAGGAAATTCCAGCCCGAAGGCGAGCGACGCAGGACGCACGTGGCCCAAGTGAGAAAACGGTTAAACCGCAGAGACAGCACTCGCATTAGGAAATCTCCACTTTATCCGTACCTGACTGATCCGCTACGAGAGCTGGATAACTTCCAGCTAGATGGTATACACGAGTATTCGCATCATGGACCCGGAGGAGAGACGCGAGGAGCCAATCGGAGATCTTCCTTATCTCTCTGTCCTTGGTTGCACAAAGAGGGTGCCCGATATCGAGAGCTTTATGCTTTTGGAAAGTGAAAGATAGGTCAAAATAAAGTCATCGCAGGGCACAGTTGCGCATCCGGGCACGGCGTAGAATGGTGCAGTTATGGTGCAGTTATGGTGCAGGACGAACATAGGCAGCCGATATTGGGACTTTACGAATTCAGTGAGTAACATATATGGACACCGGGGCTTGATTGTCAGGATCAATCTGATCCTCTACGTCGCTCTACTCCCTGAGCTTCTAGCTGGATATAGCCGATGCAACCGTCGCTGTCATCCCGGATGGAGGCGGATGAAAGGAGATGGAACCAATCGAGCAGCCCTGTCCTACGCACGCACCACCTTTGGCAATAATCCCAGCATCAGCTGTCCACTGCAGTGACGTCCCGATCTTTCACACGCGGCTCTTTGACCATTTCGTAGTCAATCTAGTGTTCTGCTCTACATCAGCGCCTCACTTGTCCTACAGTCGCAGGCACGTGTGTGTACCCGTGCTCGTTCGTCAACTTCAACAAGGAAATCAGAGACGGGCCAATCGGATGGCAGGAGGATCATCTCTCGAGAAACGAATCGCGTTACTTAGCAGTATTACTGATGTGAGTAACGGGAGTCCAGTATGGCCAGTAGCCAGAAGCGGTTTGACCATCGGAACATCTACACGTCCCATGGGAATGGAGCCATTACCGTTAACCTCTCGCAGGACTGAGACCCAGGATTCGCAACGATTAAAGGGCCTGTAGTAGTCCCGGGATACGCCCCGTTAAATCGTCCGAGAGAATCCCAGGATCCAACTTGGGCAAAAGGACTCTAGACTGGATAGCTTATTGAATACTCCGAAGGAATTGATAAAAAGAGATTCCCGTTTCAGAAGCGTCCGGGTAGACTTTCGATCGGCGTCCCGCAGTGTCCCGTAGCTTCGCTGGCATCGACCATGTGCTACCCACGTACCACGTATGTCGTGTTGCGTATCGAACGGATAGGCGCTTGGCTCCGCGCGAGTGCGTAGCTCGTCCTTACTTTGTTGTTACGTAGAGACCAGCCACCGAGCGCTTCGTTTAATGTTTAATGAATGGTGTGTGTATATATATAAAATATATAGGACTACTAAGCTCGTGAACTGCCGGCCATAATTCACGGGAGGGAAACGAATACCCACGGTGGGTGGACTCGCTTCGTGCGGAATCCTCGTTTCTCAAGGTCAGTCGGATCGCCCTCCCTGTCTTTTCAGCTATTCCAGACTCGTAACTGTAAGAGGATTTCTCAGGAGAAATTGCCAAGTTGAGAGAGTCGGCGACAGGATCTTCGGGATACCATCAAGCAGACTCCCTACAGTGTTACCACTGCTTGCCTTCGACTTACATTAAGGATATTGTACGTTGCAAAAGAGAAATGGTAGTAGGATATCTCTTCTGGTTGGAGCATCGAAGGGCTGAGAAATCAAATAAACGAACGACTCGATCCACCTGTTATTCGAAATGCTGCCAAACGAAAGATCCTCTTAACAACCGACTACGGGGACGGCCTAACGGAATCATCCGTCGTCTCTCATCTGCTTTAAGCCTCAAGAGAATCGAGGCATCTTCCGTTTCCACGTTTTATCTTTCTATCGTCCTCGTTGATCGTCCTTGCTTGAAAAAATTCTTCTTCGGACCTATCTGCGCTGCCTTTCAAAGTAGACAATTGCTGGCTGCTATCTTCCATGTAATTAGTGTTCACGTTGCTGCGCCCTCGGCGAGCAAAGCTTTGAAAAAAATGGCTTACCGTCCCTTTCAAAGTAACTCAACGGATCGAACGGACGGAACTCGAGGAATCGCAGCCTCTTCTTCCTAAATATTCTATTCCGTCGTTGAGAATCACAATTCTTCCTAAATTATACATGTCAGATTCAGCTGAATTATATGAAATTCCCGTGATGCCCAATGCACGAACGACAGAGATAGAGCCATTGAATCGTCGCTCTCGATCCTCCGATCTCGGGCCTCCGTGCTTGCGGCACGATACTCGAAAAGCTCCATTGAGAAGCATTGAAGATATAGAGTTGCAGACTCGATCTTCCGAAGACGCGCCTTCTGACTCCCGGAAGAAGGTGGCTTCGGATGGTTCCTGCATCCTGAGCAGGCGCTGGTTCGCTTGTGAAAAAAACGAATTTGACCGAATTCGAGGTAATCCTGGAGCTGGGGCTACCGGAACGCCAACGGAATTATCAGGAACAGGCATATCAGGATTGTTCGGCAATACGAAGTTATTGGCAGCATTAGCAGCAGCTTTCCAGCGTGCTTTCGAATGAACCCTGCGGAGCAAATTAAGACGCGCCCGGAGTCCTCTTGAAAATCGCGAGGTAGCTCAATCAGCGAGGATAGCTGATACGTCTGAACGTCTATAAAAATGTAGGGAAATACGCGTGGGTGAGGGAGATCAAAGAAAACAGGGAACGAGGAAAGGTAAGAAAGTGGAAAATGGAGAAATTCAGAGAGCCAGAAAGTGGTTGGAAGTCAAGGAGTCGGGAATGCCTACACGCGGCCTAGGAGTTTGCGTAGAGAGGAAAGCGGCGGGCTGGCATTGTTCGCTGGTGAACAATGCTGTCATTGTGTCGATGTGATTAAAGCTCAAATAAATTTTCTATTAGTCCCTTCTCGGGAGCCTCGTAAAAGCTCTCGTCGCCTTTAGCCTTGCGCAGCGCCAGAGCACAGTGTGCTATTTCCTTGACACCTAAATTCACACGCCACTGCGAATGGCCTAAAAACTGGGCTGGCACAGATACCTACATATGTGCATGGGTGTCGTTGAACGTGCGCGCGTTCGACTGACCCTCGAGTGACCAAGTCGACGGGTCAGCCCATTTCTTTTGAAGACCCAAATACTTGAGACTCGTCTTGCCGGAAAAAAGGTGAACTCCCTCAGGGAGGGATCCTGGGATGCTGCGAGAAACGAAGGGACCCTGAGAGCGTCACGAGTCAGATTCAATCCCGACAGAGCTACGTGATCTCTAGCTTCTTCCTGATAACCGCAGGACCGTCGCCAGATCACAGGCTTATCAAAGAATGGACGGTCTCCTGGCATTTTACGAAAGTCAAAGAACGACGTCGCCGTTGGAATTCTTTCTCTTTCGCGATGCGATTCAAAAGTTTCGATCCCTTGCAAGACCCTTTATGCGAGTCCACTGCTAGGAAACGTGGGAACCGAAGAAAAGGAAAGCCCTAAACTCGAAGGAGTCAAAGAGATTCCAACGTCAAGAGCTTCGCTCGCGATCAGCTTCAGCCACTCGAGGTGGAATTCTATCGCGCGAAAAGGCGGCTCAATCGGGACTCGACCATTCTCGACGAAATAAGAAAAGTTTCAAGAAGCTCGATGGACTTCAGAACATTGCCAAAGAATAAATGAAGAGTGATATCGATACGATTTTTAGTGGCGATCGAAGGTCGTGCTGTAATCCGTTCTTCATATTCTCTCTCTTTCTCTCTCTCCCTCTGGTTCGGGAGAAATAAGAAAATATTCTCATGGCTCAATTAAAGATCAATGAGGGAACGAGTTGGGCCTGATTGAAAAGGCAAATAAATTCCCCACGGGAAATTAAGTATCGAAGTCACACGGTTGAATGCTTTGATGAACGTAATCTCCGAAATGCTGCATACTCATTAATCTTGTGACTTAATCAGCTAAATACATTAATTCTCATTGGGACGGATATCTTTTGATTTCCGTCTAAAATCTCTCTGAATACTTATGTATCCGAGCGCCGAATGTACAAGACGCTTCACGCAGACGTCTGCCGCAGTTGGAAACTTGGGCAAAGTCCGAAGGGTTTGATCGGATCTCAAATATGTATTTCCCTCTTTGAGCCTCCCTCTACTTTTACTTGAGTTTCACAAAGCACTGTTATCGACAAAGAATTCCTGCCTTGGTCATGCGACACTGCACGTAGAACGTACGTGTCGAAGCTCGAGATCAATGTCAATGATTGCATTATGTCTCAAGATTTTTTTTGTCAAACGTTCAATACAAACGACGATTCCTTATTGTGTCAGATCGACTGCAGAAACGAAAACTCGTTTAAAATCAGCAGCCAATTGGATTTCGAACGTAACATGATCATTAAAAAAATCAACAGCTCGCCGCTCCCATTGCGTAACAAGACTCTGATTTCGATTAAACGATGCGAGATAATTGCCATAGAAACTCGTGGAAAGTTGCGTGGAAAATTTTCATGAATGCCTCGAAGTGGCTGTTTTGACAAACTCACATTTGTAAACGACGAGAAGAATCCTCCCAGAAGTGGAATCCGCAGGGTTCACTGGTCACAAAAACCCCAGGCACCAGGAACAATGCTTCCGGCTGAGTTACTCATCTTCGGATAAACAATGACCGACAATGAAGATTTGGTAATGCCAGCAAAAAGCACACAGAGTACATGGAACGTACGGGAAGAGAATGCATTCAAAGATGCCGTCACTCGCGTACTCACGGTGGTCCATGGGGCGGGGAGGGGGAAGTGGCAAAGTGGCAAAGTGGCAAAGTGGCAAGGATGCAAGGAGACGATACAAGTTGGATTTAGTGAAGACTGGAAAAATGGATTGTTAAGGTCTGATTTTTCAAGGCAACTCCGAGGGTGTTGATGTGCGATTAAACAACGTCAGACGCCCCTCTAACACAAAACAGTCACAGCGATTTGGAGTTGTTGCTTATAAGTTGAAAAAATTGTGAAAAAGTGTATACGAGGGTGGATCCGTTCGCGCTCGATTCAGGCTTTACGTGTTACGGGGGTGGCTCTGCGAGGCGTCGAATCCGAACGCGACGTGGCGTGTCCACTGGTTGCAGCGCGAGTGAGGCTTGGTCCTGCGCGGCAGCACACTCTGGCGGCCGTCCGGCGAACTGAGAGCAACCCTAAAAGCTCCGAGCCCCTGAAGCTCGCTCCCGCTACTCCAGTCCATCCCTTCCGTACGAGGCTCGTGCCCTTCCTGGCGCTTGTCCTCCCCATCGCCGAGAGTAAGTACACCAAGCACGAGGAATATCTCCGACCGTTTTTCTCCCGTGATCCTGCATGCCAGCGCAACAGCAAGGGGGCAGGCCTACCACCTTCTTCCACTTTCTTACGTCGCTTTGGTCCTTGTAGACCCTCCATTAACAACTACAATTCTCAGCCGCTTGAATATCGCAATTGTTTTACACTTTACCAAAAATTTCATCAAGAATCTTGGAAATCCGTTACTGCTGGAGATGACGAAATATCTGACGGACGGGGAACCGCACTTCGCCCGTGACCCAAAGTGTAGCTGACGTTTCTCATAGGCAGTTGGTGATAGTCTGCCTAATTCCAGCCATTGGCAACAGCAAAAAGATGTCGAAGACTCCGAAATGGCATTCACGTTAGTTAGTCAGTTCCTTGCACGTGGATCAACCGTCCTGCGAGGACCTGTAGCCGATTCGCCAAGGGAAGGGTATTGGTATTGGTAAGGGTATTCTTCAACAGCAGACTCAGACTTCACAGGGAATACGAAGAATATATTCTGGGTAATGAAAGTCAATATAGAGATATCTACCTTGGAAAAATGGTTGTAAGCGACAACTGGCAAATGGCCAGAGGATCTCGATATTATCTAAACTTCTCACTATGGTCTACTCGTTCTCCACCTTGACTGGCAAACTCTCGCTCCCGGAAATCCCTCAAGTCCCGAGTAACAAGTGCCTCCTTGCGAGGGATACGGAAATCCCTTGATGTAAACTGTCCAATACATCAAAAATATCCTCATGTGGAAAAGAAACGATTTTCCAGTTTTCGATAGAGACTCCATCACTATAGCCCCTATAGTCACTATAGCGTGCATATTCCATGGGCATGCAACAAGTGCACTCGCAATGAGCGACTCCAAGACTATTCCCTTGACAATCTTCCCTAGGAATTGGCGCCCATTAGGTACACGATATTCTCGAGTGATTCGAGGACTTCCTGTTTAACGTCCCATGATCATCCCCCCGACTTTTACCAATCTTCAAGGAAACAATTGAAGACGTTCGCACGAGGTCTTTGGGCTGTCTTCGCGGTATCAGTAGCACTCAAGTGCTGAAATGCTATAACCAGTAGTGGTATTACTATTGCTATCTGCCTTCCTTGTAACCGATACTGTCTTACAGCTATTCTACCGCATTTCCTCCGCGTCTCTGAGTGCTGAGTTAGGTTTCTCCAACTGTCGCGTACTCGGATATACTCCACTCCACTCCACCGTTAGACGAAGTGTCAGGCCTATTTCAGGGCTGCAGTAGTCGGAGCCAGACAGGCGGCTGTTCGCGCCAAACAGCCGACATCAAGAGACTATATCTGTAGTTCTTTCCGTTCGGTCAGTCTGAGAACCCGTGAGATATACATATGTATATGTATTGTGACGTGATTTTTCGATTCACGGTCACAAGGCGACTCCAGCTACCGATGCAGATAAGGTTCTCGCTTTCGGATTCCCTTCGGATCATCATCCTGCTCAGAAGCTACGCTCTCGGGTTGATTCGTATGCTCTTATGTCGTAGTGCTCTCGAAAGATTTGATATCCTGGGGAAGCAGTCGTGGAGGATCTCCTCAAGTTACGTACCGATTCGCTAAGGAACGCTCTCAATTTAGTTTAACACTAGAAAGACCGAAACAAAAGCAGTCATTTTGACTGCTTGGCCAATATAGGTATAACACATATATATATATACCGGAAATGAAGGAGGGGGGAGGTAACTACAATTACTAATAAACGCATTTATATGTTGTAGAAAAAGTCACAAAGTTCTACGAAATTGTGTCATTATATACATAATTGTTTTTCTAATTGAAATTAAAAAGCAGTCAAAATGACACTTCCTTGGGCAATCTAGTGTTAAAGGGACGACTCGAGGGAGATGGAAGAGTTATCGGCTATAAGGATCTCGACCAATCAGATGATCAGAATGATTAGTTCTCGAATTTGACATTTGGCTATTGTCAAAGCAGTCTGTCTCGGGACACCGAGCGAGGTGTCACGAACTCGCGCTCCCGCGCTATCTGTTGATAGTTTTTCTACCCGTGTTTCGATACGGTATATCAAGTTCTGACTCGTGTAGTTCTCGCGTTGCTCCCGCGATATCCAGGAAATTCTATGAATATTCTGTGAACGTTCGAGAAATGTAGTGCTGTGTAGTGCAGTGTCCACCCGAGTGCCCTTCGGATACCGTTCTTGGCCTTCACGAATTAGCTGCACCAGCTCCGGTGAGTACTCTCCCAATTTATTAATTGGTGAAGGGATTTCGATTGACAGTTCAGATCCGTTGCTGTCTGTATCGCGCACTATGTGCCTGACGGTTACTCCGACTCCATCTAGCTCAGCCCAGCAGCCTGAGCGGCCGCGCATTTCCGTAACCGTCCGCTCCCGTTAGCGCATCCAGGTGCGTTTGCTGATTTTACGCGACCCCGCAAATCTACAGGATCCGTTAAGTTATCGCCTCTTCGGATAGGTTCCGTCACAGCTCTCGTTCGCGGTGGAGTTGGGCCTGTTCCGCCCCAACTCCCAGTTCATGCCGGCTCGTCAGTTCCCGGTGAAAAAAGAATTGGCCGTCGGACGCATGAGCGAAGGGTGGACGGCCGAAGGGAACGTAGGCTGGTTCGTTCTCGGGTGCTTCGCTATCGGTGTCGAGTTAAGAAAAGGAATACGTTACAGTATATACACAGACGCACCCATACACACACACATTTATCCTGAGGCGAGAAGCGAGAACACGAGCCTCTTTTCGCTTCCAAATTTATTAATCGCCCGAAGTTGGCACTACTGTTTCTGCACGCTGACAAAGCAGCACCAAGGTGAATCGTCGACGACACCTCTGTCTACTTTCACATGGTGTTACCGATAAACGGACGTGTGAATGACGTAACTGGCCGACACTACTTAGAGGCCAAAACTTTATCGAAAAATGAGACCATGGAAAATTGAAACGTTCTACACTTTATTGTGGACTCCCTTGACCGCACAACCCCCGCATAACTCATCTCTGGTCCTGAAGGCTCGAAAGTTTTAGCTTTTGACAAGGCATTAGAAGGAATCTTTTCCAGTTCAAGGCCAAAGCGTCATTCCCTTCACTGCGATAAAGTGGTAACCGTTTTCGAGCATTTCGTGCTCGCGGAAGATTCATATTCATCTCAAAATTTAATATTTACAAATTTCTCAGCAACCGGACACAACATTGGCCTTTCACCTGTAAACATTTTGAAGAAGTAAGGAACGGATTGATCGATCCCTCACGACGTTCCAAATCGAAACAAGCAAAAACTCGGAATCTGCATATCTCGAGCAATTTCCTGGCTGGTTGAACGGTTTATTGTTTGTTGTCTAGGGTTTTGAACCCCGCACTGTGGAAAACTTTTCCACACGCAATCTGAATTGGCTGCCTGAATCGTTAGGAGGCCTGGAGGCCTCGTTGCCTTGCTGCCCTGTTGCTCGGACAGGCACAGTCGCCGGCTGCTTTTTGCGGTTACAACATTTTTGTTCGGTAGAAAAGTCCAGCCGAAACAATTAGGAAAGAATCGCCGGGAGCCAATCTAGGAACTGAACCATTTAGCATTCGCGCATCCGTGCCGACCAACTGAAAGTGCAAACGTGACGAAAACTCTAGCCGTCTAGAATCGTGCGTGTTAAGTAGATGCGCATGCTTGAAAACAACGAAGATCCCGTACGAAGTGCCCGTAGATCTTGCTGGATATTCCAGAAAGTTCTTAAGCAATACCTCGCCGGGTCAATGCGAATTCACCACAAAAATATCTTCGAGTACCTCATATTGAATGTAGTGCAGACTCGTCGGCGTACTTGAAAAATGTATACCCGTGAAATTCAAGGCAAGAATTTAGCTGCGAATCGAAACGTGACTCGAGTAAGAATTTCCATTACGAAAATAGATAGGTCAGTAAGGCAGTTGTAAGCTGCAGGGGTGTAGCTCCGACGGGTGTGGAAACCCTTGATGATCCGCTTCGGGTACTGTTTCTCCTATGCACCTTTGATCCAATAGACGTTGGGGCTGTTACTACCCGCCCACTGGTGGCCTACCATTAATTGGTGATTTGTGGCAGAGCTTGTTTATGGGCTCCCTAGGGGCGCGACCTTGAACAGGTAGACACGCGTAGCTGCTTCACCAACCTACGTTCGCCTCAGCACACGTTAGATCTTCATTCGAGCGATGCGGTCTCTACTTGCCCGCAGCTACCCTTGTCCCGTCCCAAGACAAACGAAGCCCAGTCTTCACCGTCCTCAGGATCTAGACGAGCCCACGCGAATACCTACACTGCCATTCTCATTAAATTCAATTTGGTCTTTTATTCGCATGTACTACAGAATGAGTCGTAATTTTCCCGACTGCTAATTTCTCCAAGTATTCAGAATAATGTAATAGGGACTCGAGTGAACGGCCGCCACCGAGTTTTGTCTTTCGATCACTTTCGAGTCGTACGTAGTACTTCGCGTGCCTCCCTTCATTAATCTACTTATCAAATACTCCAAGGAGCAATGAAGGTCTGTATTGTTTTAAAGGAAGTACTACGCTACAAGTCTCGATTGAGCAAGTCGAACGGGATTTTCTATAGCAAATAGAAATTCCGAGAACGCGACGAAAAGAGTCCGGCTTGTTGTTTCCTGATGCCGGAAAGTTCTCACAATCTCGCCATAAGACTCTAATGAACCAATCCCGTGGCCGGCAGCCTCTCGTACGTTCGGAAACTGTTTGGCCGATTGGGTGAGAGGGGCAAGGGGGCTACCGAGGGAAAATAAAAGAAAGGTGGGAAAGTAGGTCGGCAGGTGGAGTGAGTCAGGAAGAGGGGGCTGCCAGATTGGACGCGAGCGGAGGGTGCAGGTAACGATCGAATATAATTTTTTTTCATTCGCGCCATCGTTAACTGT